AGAGGTATGATTCTGTGGCCAGTTTAGCCACTTTCTGGCCCTAGAGTGGGATGGAAGTGGCACCTACCAGTTCTCTTTTGTCCTTTGCCTCAGACTGAATATGTCTTGGTTGGGGTGATGTGAACCTGCTGCTTATGAGCCCAGCACCCTGGTCACAGATACTGTATACATGAGCTTCAGTCTGGCATCTGAACAACTACTACACCAAAAGATCATCTGGGCTCCATGTGGTGTGTGAAGACAGGAGAGCCTGGAGTGCTTTGGTCCATGGGGTCATGAAAAGTCAGACATGACTTAACGACTAAACAACAACATGTGTGGTGTGTGTATGTCTTAGATTTTAAGACAACTGAACAACCATCCGAAACACTGACATAAAACGAGCAGCTCTTATCTAATAGTCTTTCTGCCCCCTCTGCTGTTGAAAGCAATACGTATTTACCTGCATTGGTTTCCCTTCAAAAATTAACTCAAAGCTTGTCATGTGCAAGGTGAGTAAATGAAGGCTTCTGGATATTAGCTTGAACCCTAATTTGGAATAAAAGTAACAGCAGAAGGGAGAGACATGTGACTGCAAAACGCTTCATGAATGTTTTCTGTTCCAGGCATCTGACTGTGCTGACTCTGCTGCAGCATGAGCTCATCAAATCTATGGCTTTCAGCTGATGGAGTGGCAAATAGGCCGTTGACTGTAGTTCCGTATCTGAAGGAGAAGATTTTCACTGGCAATTGGCTGAGCAAAATCCTGCTCACACCATAACAGCTGTGAACCCTGCTGAGGGCATCTGTTGGGTTGTTAATACTGGTTGAGAATCATATAGTTCTGACTGTGTTTTGTTTACCAAAGAAATTCCTATGCTTTTTCAACAGCATTAAAAGATATTGTACCTCCTGTTTGTTTACATATAATGCTGGGACTGTGTCGTCTCGGTTCCCTACCGCTGATTTTCTTCCCTGCAGGAGGGCTAGCATATTGAAAGCTTTTTATTATTTTCATTTTAACTGAGTTATAATAATAATACCAGCCTAGATGTACAAATGTGCTGTTAAAATAAAGTGCCTTGCAGGGAGTTGGGCCTGATTCTCTTGCTTTTCTTACACCAAAGTTCAAGAAAAGGAAAATGGCACAATGCTTCAGCAAAACAGGCAACACATTTAGAAAACAAGTGGGAACCAAAATTATCCAATAGAGACAACAAAAATTCCAGTAATAGGGAAGAGAATAACTCCACGTTACGCTACCTTATCATACAGCATGATCTACTCTGTGCATTGAAAAGAGCTGCTTATATTCAGCTTTATTAAAATAGAGAGGCATATATTTCTGGCTGCTGAAAATGAAAATTTCAGGACATTGGAATCAGTGTACAGCTGAACATTCCGTATTCCAGTAGAATCAAATCAGAGTCTTGGTTGACTAGCTTAAAGCTTGCTTGTAATTAGTACATTTATTAGTTCCAGAATGGCTCAGGCTCAATCGGGTTGGTTTTATTCTCTAAATATTTGCCACCATTTTCTTTGTTATTTGCAACTTGACTCTGACTTGCCAAATTCAACACAGATCAGATCTCTTGCACTCTGTTTATAGAAGACACGTGTAGCAAATGTGCAGTCACCACAGTAAATACAAGAAAAGCTCCCCTTCTGGAATTCTCTAGTCTACAAGATGTGTGAAGCCACAAGAATCTTGGCATTCATTGAAGTTTGCAACATAAGTACAAGATGTAGTAATAAAAAAATTCTACTGAAAACAGTGGTTTTTATTAATTGGTGTCAAAGTTTGACTTAAAATATCAAATAGATACATGCCAGGAGGTGAATTTCACCTCTTTGGGGCACTCTTATTCTAGGTAATGAGAGAAAAAGCAGTATCATACATTTAGTTTCAGTTTTGATTTTTAGATAGTGCAAATAAACAATAATGTGCTATCAAGTCAATTATGACTTACGGAAATTCTTTTCAGGATTTTCCAGGTAAAGGGTAGAAAACCTCATAATTTTCCTTCTAGGCCCATTATTCTAGAATTTACAAGTAAATTGAAATAAAAGTGGGGAGCTGTGTGGCCATTATAAAACACAAATGCAAAAATAGGCAATACCTGAATGCATTCAGGCATATACATAAACAAACATTGAAACACAGGGAGGATGCTCATTTTGCCCAGTGGTGTCTGAGCATAGTGAAAATGAACACAAACCCATTAGTAACCTTGCTCAGCTAATGCACTAGCATGTACATTTTTTGTTTCCTATAGTTTCCACTCTAGAACCCATAGACAGGGTCATAACACACCTAGCATTTCCTGCTGTACTCTTCTGTTACACTGGGCTAAGAATCCTACAAAAGATTATTCAGTATTGGGTTATACAGCTAGGATGTTGGCATTGCATATATGTGGGGAAGAGTAGGGGCATATCAGAAGGGACAAAGTCCTTGTTTTATGCTGCCTCATGGTTTTGGATAAAGAAATAAGGATTAGAGTCTCACGGCTTCTTCCTTTTACTATTTGAAATGTGTGGACTTAGCAAGACACTCAAATTGTAGGTTTTGAAAGATAAATGCAGACCTCCCCGTCACTAGATTTGGACCCTCATTTCTCTCTCTACATTTCATACCTCCTTCCATTGAGCTGTTGCAAGAACTCCTGGTTTTGCCTCTTGCACTGCACTAAATGCCTGCTGTGCACACTTGCAGTGCTGTTGCTTTCTTGCCCCATCTCAAAAAAAATGTTTGCTTCCTTCAAAGCTAGACGCTGATAGTGTCAATTATTCAGCTCTTTCCCCGACTGATTTACCATGGAAGGATTCTGCATACAAGCTTGTTGCCCACTGGACTATAAAGAGGTTTGAAAAAGCACTGTTGGCTGTTCCTACAATCTACATTTACACACTACATGGAAAGGTGTGTGTGTGTTACAGACATTGTTATGGCATGGCAAAGGTTCTCACGTCTTCACTGGTACTGCCACAAATGGCTGATCTGGAACATCATTACCTACTCTCATTCTGACAAATGAACTATGACTGCTGGTAGTCTTTCGGTTTTTTTTTAATCTCAATGTCCATATTCATTAACCTTTGTGAAAACATCAAAACACCAACTATATTATTGTGGTGGAGTATTTTACCGCAGGGGGACATCGGTTCGCCCGTCAAATATTATTGAAGACTGGTGGATCTGATACACTGGAAAAAGAACTTTAGATAGGCATGTTCACACAGGTTAATACCACACAATTTCTACCAGCTAGCCTATCTATATTCATATTTATTTAGTCATTCTCTGATTTATAAAGATTTCTAATACACTCTACAAATATACTTATTTTAGGTTTTGACTAAGATGACTAAAAGGAAAGAACAAATCATTTGGATTACACTTTGCATCCCCAATTTTATACCCTGGTTTAACTGAAAGGAACTCCTCCATTTAAGACAGACCTCAGCAGGTCTGAAATCAATGGTTTGGATTAATTAGATGTCAATGAGTATGGCAAACAGTGGTTCAGAATTTATGCACAAACATTCCAGAAATAATTCTGTAATATATTAACATGGATAGTAAAAACTGGATAACTGGATACTAAATAACTGATTAAGTACCGTATTTTTCCATGTATAAGACAATGCTTTTGTCTAAAATCTTTAGATTAAAACTTGAGGGTTATTTTATACACGGAAGTAATGGGGGGAAGGGATAAAAGTGCTTTGTTCCCTGCTTTCCCTTCCACTTTCTTCACAAGAATGTGGAGGTGGAAAGCAGGAATCAAAGCACTTTGATGATTCCTTCTTTCACCCTCCCCGTCCACGTGCTAAGCCACGCTTAGATTTCTTAATTTTGGGTTAGAAAAGTGTGTGTGTGGGTCTTACACACGGAAAATATGGTAAGTGACTCTTGAATAGGAAACTTAATGCTTCTGGGGCACCATATTTTGAGACATTCAGTGAGTACATATTGGAAAACTGACCTCAGGTTCTGGTATAGTGGACAAATATGTGTAACACTGGCTGGGGGGGAATCTGAGAGTTGTAATCTGAAAAAACCTCTGTACTTTTTCAAGCTGTGATCATGAGGTATGTCTAAGTTATTTGATCTTAAACAAATTTAAATAGAATAGTTGCTCTAAAACAATGTAACTCAATGTTGCATTGCTCTAAAACAATTTTGAAAAAGACTGAGTTCGTACACTTCATTTCTCCTGGGATGCACTCAATGGGAGCTGCTGGAGAAGGAAAGCTTTTGTAACAGACTTGGGCTCTACAGCTGTCTACAAATATCATGATGACAGCCCAGATAATGGGAAGCGGTAATCTTTTTTTACCCAATTCAAGGCAATTTGTTTGCACCAGACGTAGCAAAGCTACAAGTTGCAGATTACACATATTCGTTAATGATGTACTTTTTACACAATGCTCTCACACTAGCCGTATAATTGTCAGTAAGTTTTTAATATACACATATATACAATTATATACAGAAGGTACACAATACACTTATGTATATATTGGAGGTCTTATACACAGATACACTAGGGTAAAACTATTTGCATTTGTTCCGTCAGGCCTGATTGTGCACTCTTTAATTTAACTCACAATAAAGGTATTTTATACTAAAAGATGGCCAAGACTCTTCTTTAACTTCATATACCAAATTTAAACATTAGGTAAGGCCGTCTACTTGGAATATATGATTACAGATTTACAATAAAAATGGGCATCAGATATAATGTTGCTGACTGCTCTGTTCATTGGCTACTAATCTGCAATTTTTATCTACAAGGATTCCAAAATAACAACATATTTTAATCTTCTCTTCTTTCAGTAACAGCTAAAACGTAACATATGAAAGAGCTTTGCAAATGTCACATACTACAGTATGAGCAAAGCAGCATGGCAGGACATAAAACTCCCACCACCCGGTGACATCTAGTGGGCATTGTGATTAACTGGTGGTTGTATAAGGTCAAAAGAAAACAAAACAAACTAATGAGCACAGCATAAAAAGAAACTACTAAATTTATTTATTTTACAAACTTTCAATAATATTTGGTAGAAATGAAGTTTTATTGCTTTTATAATGAAGTATGGTTCAAAATCTTTCAAAAACCAAGGATCAGCTGTTGTTAAACGTCTTCAAAATAAATGGAGTGAATTGTAGCTCAAACAGATCAGCAACAGTCTTTTTTCTGGAAGTGTTAACATTCAGTATTACAAAATAACAAGGGTATAAGATGCTGGTTCTAAAGGACTACAAAAGGTTTTTCTTGTGAGATAATCTAGTAAAGCAATATGATACAAAATACAATTATTCACCACTTAAATTGTACAAATGAATTGTTATTTAGGAAAGGAACAAATTATATCTATTGTTTCAGCTGATACTTCACTATGCAGAATAGCCTGGCACATATAGTTTCTGGAAAAGGAAATAGCAATGTGGAAAAAAGTGTATCCTTTGTAACAATACAGTACATAAGATTTAGATAACTGTTCCCCCCCCCCCAAAGAATGCATCAAATTACAACATGTCATTTTCTTTTCTTGAAGTAACTCAGAAATACACCATTCTATGTTTTGGAAGAAGATGGATTTTCTACCATTATTATATCAGTTTTATTTTATTTCTTTACCTGAGTAACCTTAAGTAAACAGATTACAATGTCCACATACATATCTGACACAGAGTTCCCTGTATAGTCTATGCTCACAAAAAGTGTGTGTGCAGACCTTCATTAATTTAAACTGACAGAGCCAAAAATCTCCCTATTGAACTTAATGGGGAAACTATTCCAAGCAGGAGAGCCTGTGTGCAGACACTGGAACTCTTATGCCCAGAACAGATCACTGACAGTTATGTTAGGACATGAGTTACTAAGCATGGCTGCTGCATAAGCTCGATTCATTTCAACAGGGCCTATATATAGCCCCCATTGAAATAAATTAAAGCCCCACAGAAACAATGTTGATGGGCTGTGTTGGAGCAGGTTAATTTCTCCTAAGGAAATGTCCTCTAATGGGCCGACACTGGACTGCAATTTCACAAAAAAGAAAAGCAGGAAGGAACATATAAAACAATGAACAGTCAGCTTCATGGCAGTCTGTACAGAGGAACAGATGTAATGGAATTATGTACAGAACAGTATTTTCATCACTTTTTGTGCAATGTAGCCTCCACTGAAGTTGAAAGGCTGCTGTTAATTACTCATGTTTTTGAATGCAACTTACAATGGTGAGTACAGAAAAGAGGACCACAGATCCCAGATAAATACTGTGCTACATGGACAGCTGTATTTAACTGTTGCAGTGCATTCATCAGAGATACACATAGCAGCAAAGACAGATAACAGCATTTAAAGTTTCTAGGCTTGTTACACTTAATGTGAGAATAAATGACTGTATGAGTAACCGTGACTATTGGAGAATTATAAGTTTATATGAAAGAATGCTTTATATTCGATGTGCAGAAAAATAGTGCAGTAGGAATAAATCCTTTACAGTAGCAATTAAATAAATTCAGAAGCACTGTTAACTCAGGAAATTTTTAAAAGTCATACGTAAAATGTAATTGTTTCCCTTCGGAATAGTTCTGTCAGTAGCATTCACTGTAACTCCCAGCTTCCATCTTCTTTGTGCTCTGGTTACTCCATTTTTGCCTTGTTATTATTTTTTCCTCTTTGACCTACCACAGGCTGAAGTAAAAGGAGTATGCTTGAAGCAATTTCTAGATATGAGTCATGTTGGTGAAAAACCTACAGGTGTTCAGTTACTTTTATGAGGTAAGTTTAGAATAACTTGGTGGAGAAAATTTACGTTTTAGGTACTTCAGAATATAAAGTGGAAGACAGCTTACTACAGTGATGGCTGATACTTTCCACAGGAAGGTCACAGTTGTGATAAAGGCAACATCTACAACATAAAAAAGGGAAAAATATTATAAAAACCATGAAAGAGGTGACTGTCCACTAGACAAGACCAATAAACACCACTAGACTATTGTCACAGCCTTTTTAAAAGGATGGTCACATGCTAGGCATGGGCTAGTTTTAGGACTAACTGTACTCTTAGCACATTATTTTTTGAAGAATGTTCTTCATTGGCCTGTTCTGACAATAGCCTGAATCACAAATACACATTTGAAATTGTCATACCATCATTCAAAGGCAAATATGACAAAGAACAGAGACACAGTTAAAAAGTGGGTCCCTTTGAGAAACAGATCATGGTTTAAAAATAACTGTAGATTAAAATGCGTAATTTTATGCATCTCTCCATGAAACTCCTTTTCTAATGTTCTTTATTCATCTTTATTAACCTCTTCCTATACAAATTCAGAGAAGTCAGTTCAAATAATATCAGCTCAGTAGTGTTTGCCCTTTATTTCAAAATCTTATTCTATAAAAATCACCTCTTACATTTCTTTCTCAAAACAGCACAAATTTATAATAACATAATTATTATTTAAGGTTATTACTGTGTGACATTACTTGTATACATTATTGTTTAGGAAAGTGAATTAAGCTTTAAGAACAGACTGAAGTTTGTCCCTAATTAAATAAGTGATTACTGGGCCACCTGAAGGGCTCAGTGGTTCTTCTAGTACCAATTTTTTACATTAAGAAACCAAACAAACTTGAGGATGCTTTTTCCTTGCCAGCTTGTGTCCAAAATTATTGTACAGTGTGTTTTTCAGTACAAAAGTAACTCTGTTTACTTCAAATAATAATTGAAATCCATGGCACTATATTGAAATTAGTACACATTTAAATCCTCCACAGTACTGACAGAGATCATAATTCTGGTTTATTACTGTAATAAGAAATAGCTTTCATTTCCAGGTTTGGGGAATAGTAATCAGTAACTTATTTGTTCAGATGGTAAATTCTCACACTTCAACCTACCCTTCCTTTCCTCCTGGATCCGCCCCTCCAATGTCACTTTACAATAAGGGTTTTGAAATACGGAAATTTTAAAAGGCCATCTAAGCAACTAATTGATAGCAATTTAATTAGCTCTTCTGAGTACAAAGGTTAAAATATGTTAACATCCCAAATGTTTACAAGTCAGTAAAATATGAACAGGAGTACATTTTCCATTGCAAAAAGAAGTAAGCCTGGCTTCAGCAGGGGTGTACGCTTATTGTAGTGCTTTTATGGGGCACCTCATCTTTTAAGAAAATAGCAGTTATACCTACCTAAGAAAGCTCCAAAAGACACTCTGCCTATACCTGTTCCGATAAGGTGGAAGAAGAAAGGACAGATTTATAGAAAAACAAAGAAATAAGAGAAGATGTAATACAAAAAAAGAGGAACGTATGAGAGAGCTCTGAAAAGTTTGAAAGAGGTTAGTACTATTTGAAATATTACCCGCATATAGACCAACTTAAGACTTAAAATTCTAGAACTGTTCTAGCTATGAACATTATTTTAAAAACCTACTTTGGCAAATAACAATCAGAGGTCTCCAAGCCCAATAGGATTTTTAACTCAGAAGTGGGGGTTCCTACTGGGTTTATGCAAGCCCTTGCCAGAAAACTGAGCACTGTATTTGTAACAGTGGAAAAGTTTTCCCCCACCCAGGACATTGGCATGACATCAGCAACTGATCTACAGATGTAACAAGGTCAAATTAATGAGTAATACAATGCAGACAAAAAAATCCTATAAAACTGCACTCAACACTACAGCTGTGAACAGCTTTGTACAAATACAACAACTTAAAATATGACAATAGAAACTACACATCATATATATAATAGCTACTCACCAAAATATTCATTTAGAAATGCAAGAGAGGCCACATAGCAACAAAGACTGAAGACTTCTGCCACCACCATTAACCAGTGCCATGTTCGTATGGTTAGGGCGACCATCAAGAGCTCAGTCAGGATTAGTGCCGTGAAGGAAATGGCAACAACATGGACAAATTCAGATTCAAAAAGCAGAAGAGCTCCATACATCAGAATGCCACCTAGGAAAGTCATAAGGTATTTAACTACAAACCCACAGCTTAGTTTTGTTTTTCATGCATGTGCCCTTTGAACTGTATGTAAGAAAACCGTCAGTAACAGTGAAAATATTGCTCATCTTGTTTCAATGACAAAGTAAACTTCCAATAAACATACTTCAATCACATGTATACATTGTAGATGAAACTATTAAGGGTTACAACATGCATTCACTTTATTTTTCATGACAAACAAGAGTGCAAATAATTACTGTTGTAGTATGCATTTCTTGTGCAGTACATGAAACACAAACACTCATTATGAAGGTTTTGTAGATTAGCCATTGATTCAGCCCCTTTTCTTTCCACTTACACCTTGGAACGGCAATTAGCCCTGCTCCTTGGCATCAGAGCATTCCTATTACCAGAGTGTTCTGGCAATATATTATCATCAGGATATATCATCGCCAAATTCCTGACATGCACATGTTCAACTAGATGTAAGGGGTTCAGCTGTGCATGTGCAGGCTTCCACATGACTTTGGACTCTACTATGAAGAGTTCCTAATTTCACTGAAGTCTCCATGTGTTCAGCTAATCCTATGGTCAGACCAGTCACAAGCAGAACAATGTACAAATACCAGGATCATGCCTAGCTGGAATGGTTTTGCTTTGCTTGTCACACATTCACAGCAGCCACACAGCAGATACATGAAAGAAGCTCAAAAACACATATTTAAAATGTGCCTAATTTTAGAGCCCTATTCAGGCACTCAGAAAAGGCTTGATCTCAATCTGCAAGCTAAGGCTGTATTGTCTTGCCCCACTGCTTATTTCCTGAAGAGAACAGCACCATGAACAGAAATGCAGAACCTCCCCTTGTGATCAGGCATCCTAATCTTTTGGGGGTACCAACTGCATGAAGAGGCTCCATATATAACAGAGGCTCTCCTCTTCCAACAGTTGTTTCCAGTGTGAAGAGAGTAAAGGTTTGTCTTCACAAGCTCAATGGGAGCGGGCTGGATCAGACTAAATAGGGTTGCTTAAGGCAGTGGTTCTTAACCTTTGTTACTCGGATGCTTTTGAACTGCAACTCCCAGAAACCCCAGTCAGGACAGCTGGTGGTGAAGGCTTCTGGGAGTTGCAGTCCAAAACTCCTCAGTAACCCAAGGTTAAGAACCAGTGGCTTAAGGTAAGCTAGATGGCCAGTATGTCGTTTACTGTAATCCTTGTATCCCAATGGCATATGCACCTTAAGCAATCCTATCTGATTCAATTCCATTAAGAAAGGAAAGAGAAGGGGGAAAAAGAACCCCTCTGTTCTTGCCTCCTCCTGTCTCCTCACACTTCTGGGTGGAAGATTATCTAAGTGGTGCAGTGAATTTTTAATTTTTAATTTTTTTTTTTGCTTGCTTCATCCCTCTGCTCTGTGGAGAAGCAGAGGAAGTAGTTAAGATGCTTGTCTCCACACTAATGACACAAGGATACTGAAACTTGCTGAGATATTAATGTAGGAAGGTTGCTTTGGTTCAATCCCAGCAATCGCAGATACTGGAAACAAACCAAAACAAATGAATCCCACCTCCACCAAAAACAAAAATCAGAAGCTCATTACAGAGGCACAGAAAGATGTGGGTAGGAATGCTCTGGGAATGGGTTGGTTCACTCTAGCAGTTATGTTGTCTGATTGCCAGAAAAAGGAGTGAATCAGTTCATCCTTGTAGTGGATTGAATGCTCATCTGATCACACCGTAACAGGCAGGAGGTAAGACTAGAACTCTCTTTCTTCACATGTTCAGATGAACCTTCTTCTGAATGACTGGGCAAGGTTTATTTCACCATCATACTTCAAGACAAACAGAAAGCAGTGACAATAAAAAGTGGTTTATAGATTTCTAAAGTCTGGTAATTTAACTGACAAGTCAAAACAATATTGTTTAAAGACAAAAGATTATGTGGCCCCAAAAACCCTGAAGCAGATTTCTTACCTTGATAAATACTGATTAAAACCCAGATGAGGAAGGTCTTAAATGATAAGGATCTTCCCTAAAGAAACAAAATAAAGTAAATAAATGATATATAATTTACAAAAAGGTACTCAATGGAGCAGTACTATGCATGTTCAAAAGGAAATAAGTTCAACTGAATTATTTGGGCACTTCTGTCAGGAAAGTGGGTACAGGATTACAACCTCAATGTACCAAACAAACCAAAGAACGAACAAACAGTTCTATAGCACCTTAAATACTAACACCATTATAAAACAAGCTTATGTAATAATAAATGACTGAAATCCTATTGTGCAGTTCCGTGTGCCTAACGGGGATGTTGATGTTGCCATCAGCAGTGGCAAATTGAAACTAAATACTTCCTTTGGTAATTGAGGTATGCATGCAACTTTGCTGCACTGTGCACAAGTTGTGTGCACCTGGAATCATCTTTAATCAGCAGACATGTGCCTTTAATCAGTAGCAATTTGCTGATGCTAATGACGTAACCCCCCCATGTGCAAGATGAGAACAGTGCAATAGGAGTTCAGCTAATATATTAGTCTTTAAGGTACCAAACAAATTAAAAGAGATATTACCCTGCAAAGGATGAGGGAATTGGTTCTACAGATTCATTTAACAAAAAATCCTGCAACTACGCTGTAAGTTTATTTATTTATTTATTTGATTTATATCCCGCCCATCTGGTCTGGTCGACCACTCTTGTATTGTTTGTTTTCGTGTTTCGACATATATTTCCGAATAGCAAAACTATAAATCTGTATTCAAATGCAGGACAATAAGGCACACTCAGCAATTCTGCTATCATAAAACTATTTTCGTTAAGTTGTAGTTACATTGCCAGTTGTGAAAGAATAGTCTATATTTTGGGTGAAATAACTGGCTGGGTTACATCTTGGGTTTGTGTTGAATGCATTCCTACAACTGTGTTTGGTACTGATCACAAGAAACTTATTTCACACTTTTTGCAAAAGGATCAGTTTCCCAAGTATGTTAGCAATGCACAAGTGTTTACAGAAGAAAACTACCAAGTGTGTCGTTTGCCCTTGTGGCCCCTGCTTGTTTTTCCCTCACAAAGGCTCACGTCGTGTTTTCTTTTTGCTGCCACCAGTGGATTACTTCAATCCACAATTTAAATGATGTATGTCAGAACACTTGTCTTGTGAACAGAAACAGAACTTATTGTAGTGAAGCAGATTGAATAAGCGAAGTTTCTCAGATACACATTATATATAAGCAAATCATCAACAGTTCTCTCAGTACATACTTTTCTCTTGCTATATCATTACCACCTTCTCTGCCTATTTTCCTAACCAGCTCTATCTCTCTCAGTATCTGTTCCCTCTTTCTCTGACTAACCAGCCATTTCTATCTGTATCTCATCCCAATCTCTATCTGGCTCTATTTCCTTCTTGACAAGCCTCATGGAGCTGCTGACTCTGCCTCTCCAGTCCTCTCATAGGTTCATGCAAATCAGCTCATGAATATGAATGGCATGAGTGACGTGGGTGATCACCACGCCAAGCTCTTGGCATGCATAATTAAGCTCTATAAAATATGGTAATGAGGTTACTAGTGCAGTTAGTTGTGTTTAACTTTTACTTCAGTGAGAATTCAGTCATGACTTAACTTCTCTGATAAATTTCATTGGCATCTAATGTTAATTACGTAACACCACACTCTTCTTCAGCTCTACTAAGAGTGCATTTACAGATATTACAGAAACACTTCTGGAACTGGCAAGGGAGGAAATCTGCAGGCTTATATGCACCTAAAAACCTGTCATAAAGGACTGGGAAACTCTGCTGAGCCAGTTTCAAAGGACTCCAGGGGGTGGGCAGATGGGTGGAAAAAAGAAGGCTCTGCTGTGCTAGTACTAGAGCATTAGCATCCCAGAAACTTAAACCAGGCATCGTTTTTCAGTACCGTATTTTTCCGTTTATAACATGCCCCCATTTATAAGACCCCTTTTTCTAACTCAAAAATTAGGAAAACATAGCTTTGAGTATTCAACTTCTGGGCTCAGAACACTCGGACATTAGAACTCCCTGTTGAATCTGAGCACTGCCTACAGGCTCCGCCTCCAAGGAGGTGTGTTCCAATTGGTTTGCACAGCGTCAGCTGACATCAGTTCCACAAGGCTCGTGATTGGAGGAAGCTAAGTCTCCTGACTGTAGGAAGCTAAGCCTTGTGATTGAAGGAAGCCTGTTTACAGAGGCAAAGTATGGGCAGTTTTCTCTCTGTGTTCTCAGCTTACTTCTATGTAAAAGATGCCCCTCAGTTTTTAATGAAAGATTTTAGGAACAAGCAGCATCTTATACATGGAAAAATACTGTATATAACTTGTCTCCTAAGTACAGTGGTGCCTCGCATTACGAGCGCTCCGTTTGACAATAAAATTGCTTTACGTCGATGTTCCCTATAGGGGAATTTCACTTTGCGATGATCGGTCCCCTGTTTCGGTAACCGATCATTGCAAAGCGATGATTTTCGCACAGCTGATTGGCGGTTTCAAAATGGCCGCCGGGTTTTAAAAAATGGCCGCCCGCTGTTTTCTGGGACGGATTCCTTGCTGCACGGGCAGCGAAAATGGCCGCGCTATGGAGGATCTTCGCTGGACGGTGAGTTTGAAGCCCCTAGGAATGAATTAATCGGGTTTTAATGCGTTTCTATGGGCTTTTTAAAATCGCATGAATACGTTTTCGTTTTACAGCGATTTTCACGGAACGAATTAACGTCGTCATGCGAGGCACCACTGTACTTCATACTAAGTACTCTTACCTTAGTAAGGTCTTTGTAAAGTTCTGGATATAAGAGTGCCATTTCTGGTTTCACATCCTGATCCAATACTAAGGAGAAGACTGGAAACATAGTGTATATGGTTGCATACCTAAAGGGAGAAAAAAATTTAAAAAGTGTTTGAAATACTTTAATTAAACGTATCTTTTACATAAACTCCTTCCTTTCCCAGTAAAATCCTAGTACTCATGCAAACTTAGTTTATGTTTTTCTAGTTGACCTTGCAACAACCACAACTATTATTAAAAGTATTTATCCATTATATGTCAGTACAAGAGGGCCTTCAAAGCAATGCAAACCTGCAAAAAGATTTTGAAAACAAAAATTTCTTAAAAATAGATAAAAACCAATTTTAATGCTGATATTAAAAGCCAGTGTTCTTTTAAAACCAGCTTTTAAAATATTTCTACACACCAAAGGCCATACAAACCATTACAGTCTTGATTGCCTACAGAAAGTCCATAAGGCAAGCCTGACTTATTTATTTATTTATTCAATTTTTACCCCGCCCCTCTAGACAATGTCTACTCGGGGCGGCTTACAAAAATTAAAACACATTAAAACAATGTAGAGAAATAACTAGCATAATGCAATTATTGGGATGGAGTTCCATAATGAGGTGCTTCTACAGAGAAAGTTTTGTTTCATGTGTTGACCATCCAAGCTTCATATGGTGATGTAATACACAACAGGGCTTCTGCTGAAGATCTTAAATTCCAGGAAAGCACATACAGGGGGAGGTAACCTTTTAGATATCCTGAGTCCCAAGCTGTTTAAATCTTTCTAGACCAAAACTAGTGCCCTTAACTAAGTTTGGAAGCAAACTGGAAACCAGTGCACTTGAGTGACATATGGTTGCTTCAAACACTTTTCAAGGGCCATTCCATGTACCTTAAGAATTTGAAGGTGATGAAATTACAAATCACTGTGGCCTAATGCACCTTCCCTAGGAAGAAGCACATCTGGAACACTAGCCAGTACTCCCTATCATAGTAGTTACGCAGTCTTCCAATATCAAAGCTAGCTCGAAGAGCACCTCCAAAATGTGAATCTGGTCTTTCAGAGGAGTGCAATCCTATGCAGAATAGGTAGTAATCCCAATCCCATGTAGCTTTTGTGCTGACCAGCAGGACCTATTTCTTGTCTTAAACTAAATTTTGGTTTGTTCAAACAATTCAAGATGTTCACAGCTTCTATGGCATCAGTTCAAAAAAGGAAGCTGGGACTGGATATCGCTATCACAGTGGTGAGACCTGACTCAAGAACCCAAATGACCTCCTGCAACAGCTTCATATAGATGTGGAAACTCAGAGAGGACAGTCCTGAGCACAGAAGCTACTAGCCCTGAAGCCATCAAGCAGCCTTGCAACATCGCCTTCTGAGAAAATTGAACCAACCGGACTGGAATCAACACAAAATGGTGTCCCTGAGCCACATATCAACTGAAGGTCTCAGAAGAATACCATGAATAGTGCTGTGGGAAGTCCAGCGGAACCAAAAGAGGAAGCACTCCTCCATCCTGTTCATGATGGGACCTTATTTACATTGTGTACACAAAGAAGAAAGAAAACAACTAAAACGGAAGTATCTAACATGTGTCTAACATGTTGTGTGTGGAGATGTGTGGAGATGTGATAAAACTAGACACTAGTTTTGTGTGGAGATGTGATAAAACTAGACACTATACATTACTTTTTAATTTTTTTTCTCTTTATGAAGCAGCTGCCAGTGGCTTACATTTCATCAATTTCTACCTAAAATCAGGGGAAATTATTCTAGTGGCCACCTAGTGGATGTCGCTGTCCAGCTCATTAACCTGACTTCGTGAGGAGTATTACAAAGATGGTCTGTAAAGCAAAAACATAAGCAAGCAACAAAAGCAGTAGCAACAGAACACCACAAGAAATTAAGTGTTTGAAGAACAGTATTTTTTTACTTACCCTACCATTAAGAAACCCTGGTACAGAGGAACAGATGCAAAATAGAACACTGAAGAAAATACAGCCTAGAGAAAGAACAAAGCCAATTATATTATGATTATCATAGATAACATAGGTTTACAGAAGTAATTTGAACATTGGAACACAAGCTAGCATTTAACTAGTTAAAGCTAGAACAAAACAAGCTCAAAATATTTACGAGGTAAAGAAAACAAATGTAATACCTGCATAGTTGAAATAATAAGGCCTCTGTGCATGACAAACTGACCAAGTGCTGCTGATCTTTTGTAACTGTTTCGGCCATGTACCATCAGCAGTCTGCCCATGTGTTTAAATTGTGTGATGGAAAAATCAGCAGCTAAGGAAGCTTGCTTTCCCTCCTAAATGAACAATAAAACAACAAATCGAAACTATCAACTGTATATAAAGTATTCATTATATATATACAGTATATGCATTTTAAAACGGAAAATTAATTTATCTAACATACAGTTCTTCTATTATAACATACCACAAATAAGGCAGACAGGTATTATATATTTATGCATTCATTATACCAATCAGTCCGGTTAGTGCCTCTCCCTGATGGAATAGTTTCCATCAGTGGATTCAAGTGATTGGCCCCATAGTCCTTCTCTACCAAGTCTTAAGGGATAGGGGCTGTAGTGGAGGAGTGGAAGGCAAAGTTCTGTTGCATGAACAAAACTCTGCTCTCCCACTGCCTGACATTCATGGGTTCCCCACGGTGCTGTTAAACGCACATTTAATCTAGCCCACAAACATCTTACCTTTCCTTCAATTCCAATTCCACAGTCTGCTGCTTGGATCATGCTAACATCATTTCCTCCATCACCTGAAAAAAAAAGTTAAATATCCAGTGATGCTTTAGATTGACCTGGCAGGTTTTGACCAATTTAAATTTATTTATAATTAGTTTAACAAAGGAAATTAATTAACACTTCTGTTAAAATTTGTTTTACTGTTTCAGAAAAACAAAAAGTGGATCATTTCAGGTCAGTTTAACTCCCTCATTTTTGGTCTCTTACGAGTACAAGACGATTTTGGAAATTTATGAAGTGCTCCTTTTATTAATGGCTGCAAAAGAACTGTTTACATATGTTTGAAAACAGCACCAAGTGTGTACAGAATGGTATTAGATAGTCAAGAGATAGTATAGTTATGTTTTCCTGGGAATGTCTTCACACTCTGCTGAACTACAGTCAGAATTATTTTTAATGCTAAAGCTCATTTAAGTCTGAGTTAGAAAAACTGGGAAGTATCACAAAAACCATCAGGGAAATCTCATATTTTTATCTCTTATTTGGGCAGCCCATGTGGCACAGAGGACTTGCTCATTATCGAGGGATAAGGAATGTATTGGGAAGATCCAAATATCAACTAATGTTCTCTGAGTTGTAATTGTTATTGTTTCTGTAAAAATCTTGAGGGAAAATGAAGTTAAAAAGTGTTGCTTCCATTTATTCTCTGATTCTACTCTGAATTTATTTGCAATGATTGTGACTGACCTCTCACCTCAGTAATCTGCCAGTAGGAATGACCAGTATCTCTTTAGTTTGCTAACAGGAATGAAACCAGAGCTGATACTTGCCTATCGCACATGTACGTTTTCCTGTGTGATGCTGCAACAATTTTACAATGTGGGCTTTTTGAGTGGGAGAACATCGGCAGCATACTACAGCTGGACACTGGCAAGCCAGTTCTACAAATTCATGCTCATAGTACTTCAGACAGACCTACAACAAGAAATACATTCAAGTTCAGATTGGAAGTTCAGCATTCAGAAGTCCAGCAGAACTCCATACAGTTGGAAGTTGCATCACTTTTCAACTCTTCCACGAGAGTGTGTACCACAGAGTATGCTAAAGAAGCAGCAAGCACATGTAAAAGAAAGCAGATTTTAACTTCTGAAGGAGTGACTTTGAAAAAGAAGTCTACATCACTAGATATCACCATGGTGAAAAACAAGCAGTAGATTGGTGTATGACCTGAATGGAGGTTGCCCTGAGAAAGAAGAAAATCCTTGAATAAAACTTAGTAAATCATTTGAGCACAACAACATTTGAATTAGCCGATTATACGTGAATGTAAGCCATGTGTTATGCAATCCTCAATCATTCAAGTTTTTTACATGTTTTTCTTCTCTAGCCTAACAACCAAATGTGTGTTTCAGTGACATTACATACAATTATCTCACCTTATTATTTTGTATAGGAAACATAAATAAGATTATCTAAATGTAGCCAGAATCTAATGCAGTCTTATTGAAATGTGTAATGTGTAGAAAGTCTTACATGTTATTGCACCAGTAGCTCTTTGTGGTGAGACAGCACGGTGGGCAGCATGGTATGTATGTATGTATGTATGTCTGTTACGTACGTACGCGTGCGTCTGTCTGTCTGTCTGTCTGTCTGTCTGTCTGTCTGTCTGTCTGTCTGTCTGTCTATCTATCTATCTATCTATCTATCTATCTATCTATCTATCTATCTATCTA